GTCGACTAGATGGTGGTGTTGCTGTAGCCATTACACCATCTGCTGGTCCCAAAACTACTCTGTTTTTAGCTGGTGGTAGGTACACAAACTTGCTTTGATGTAAATCACAAATGAATACATGTTAAAAAAAAAAAAAAAAAGGCAGGAAATCCAAATAAGATTGATGGATTTACATCAAAGTCATTCTCTATGATATCGTACCGTAGTTTTTACAGGATGTTAACACTGGGAGAACTGGGTAAAGGATACGTGAGATCTCTGTTATTTCTTACAACTGAATGTGACTATACAATGAAAATGAATAGTTTATTAGAAGTAAACTCGGGGGAACTAGCAGTTCACGTAATGGCTATGTCGCTGGACTCCCATGTAGTCGACCGCGGTTCGCGTCCCGGACCCGGTGGCTTAAAACTCATGCCGGGCGCGTGTGCGTGCGTGCCCAAGATCCCGAGAGGAGAGTGGAGAAGGGATTGCAGTGTGACCATCCCCCCTGGGGAGTGATTTCTCGCTTTCTGTCTCTCTGTCTCTCTGTCTGGCGAGCACACGCGCCCTATAGCGGAAACCTCCAAAAAAAAAAAAAAAAGAAGAGAAGTAAACTTGGAAAGTGCCACTCATACGATTCAAATGTTGAAGATAAACTCTGTGAGGAAAAGGCAACTACTAAAAATGTTAGGTAGGCCCAGATGTGGGAAGGAGAAAGAGCGATACAATTTTGAAGAATTTTTTGAACAGGACTCTTTGCCCTGCATATCACAGCATGAAGAAAGGAAGCACAGAGGATTTAAGAGTGGTTCTTCTGTAGGACAATGTGGGATGGTGGGATCTTGCCTCACCAGGGCACTTTGGTGATGTTACAGCGACGTGTGCAGTGTTACAGCTGGGAGGGTACTGCCATATCTGGTGTGTAGAGGCTTACCTCTGCCTCCAAACACAGCAAGGAAGTAGTGAGTCCAAAATGTCCAAAGTGCTGAGTTTGGGAAACTGATAACTTTTTTTTTTCTTGGGGGTGGGGGCCTATAGGGCACAAGGGCTCATGAGAGAGAGAGAAAGCAAACAAGCACATGTGAGCGAGTATGGGAAAGTGATTT